AATAATAATAATAATAATAATAATAATAATAATAATAATAATAATAATAATAATAATAATAATAATAATAATAATAATATGTCCAGTAAAGAAAGGGCTACCTGTACCATTTTAGTCCTCAGTCCGTGTCGGTTGTAACGTCTGTACCAACAATTCAAATTCTCCAACAAGTGATTGGCAATCTGCATATTTATAGAGTGTGAAAGGTCTATAAATTCGTCCAGTGCGCCTTTCATATTTTACGATGATGTGTAGAAACCGTCAGTAGCCCCACAAAAACCCACACAGGCATAGAGACCACGCGAGTACTGAGCTGGGAATCGTGCGAGTTGATTGCACCTAAACATTCAATGTTCAATTTTATGAACTCCCCCGTGTGAGATTTACTGCCCATCCTCGTCGGTTTTACGGGGTCAGTAAATGGCACCTATAGCATTCATAGGTCGTGTTTATATTTGCGTGCATCGGTGCTTTGGAGCGCCTGGTGGAAATCTGTCGCCTTGGCCTCTACACGGTTTTGCATCGAGGAATGTTTTGTCTTCAATTCGGTGTTTTGCTCGGGGGACTGAATAGCTCCGAATCTGTGTTGTTTTTATTTTTAATACCGTTTTAATGCTGTTGATAATCTCCCAAATATCATCCCGACCCAATGGAGCCAAAGAAAGGCCAACTGTTTTCTGGGAACTTGTATATAACCTTCAGGGCATGATAGAAAAAAATAAAAATAAAAATACCTCATCACAGCAGCTTAATCCGCTTAGAAAGGGGGGAAATCCTCCCTGCTTTAAACACCTCATAACCCCCATACAAAGAAGCAAAACTATAAATTCAGACTACACAGGAAATGTATCATGCTTCATCGTCTTTATATCGTAACCATTTCACAACTGAATTGTTCAGCTTGTAAGAAAGGTTTTTTTGTGTGATAAACTTAACATTGATCATATTTACAGCCTCTTAGATTGTTGGTTATGATTAGTGAAGCCTTTCTCAAGGTGGATATACGTAGGGCCCACGTCTGACCGGTCATGGAAAGATGAAGGGGTGGGGGGGGAGTGAGGTTGGAGGAGGGTGAGGGAGCCTGTGGTGGGGGTGGTTGGGTGGGAATCTAAAAAAAGGAAAAAGAAAGAAAAGAGCAGCGCCTGTGACTGTGCCGGTCGAGCGAGCCAGCTGTAACCTTAGCTAACATACATCCAAAGCACATGCCATGAGCCGGGTTTGAGACTGCAAAACCTGGAAAAAAACCCACTCACGACTGCGAGGAGAAATCCGATGAGAGGAACGGCTCAGAGAGAGTGAGCTGCCGTAGATTGTCCAAAGGGGCAGCGTTTCTCCTAGTTCCGGTTTGTCTGCTTGTGTGCGCTGTGCGAGTTGGGACCCTAAACAAAAGGCTGCCATCATCCTAAAGGAGATATTCTACTGCGAGAGAGCCCGTCTGCTTGATGCTAACTAAACATGAGCTCCTATTTTGTTAACCCTCTTTTTTCTAAATACAAAGGCAGCGAGTCACTGGAGCCAACTTACTACGACTGCAGGTTTCCACAAAGCGTTGCCCGCAGCCACACGCTAGTTTACGGACCCGGAGCAGCCGCACCGGGCTTTCAGCACCCATCCCATCATGTGCAGGACTTTTTTCACCACGGGACCACGGGGATCTCCAACCCCGGATACCAGCAAAACCCCTGCGCTTTGGCTTGCCACGGAGACGCAACGAAATTTTATGGATATGAAGCCCTTCCGAGGCAAACGCTTTATGGTACCCAACAAGACGCAAGCCTAGCGCAATACCCAGACTGTAAATCGTCGAGCAGCTCTAACCCCGGAGAAGGACAAGGCCACTTAAATCAAAACTCCTCTCCCAGTCTTATGTTTCCTTGGATGAGACCCCACGGTCAGAATCATACAAATTTTTCCTATTCTTTCAGTGTTGCCGTGTGGTGCGCGCGTGTCACTGTGTATCCGCCTGTCTGTGTGTGTGTGTATGTATGTGTGTGATTGTGCATGTGTGCTAAATACGTAGGGTGTACAAGAGTATGTCTCTAAACTATAAAACGAAATAAGTGAGAGAACATGATGGGGCACATAGAACCTGAAGTGCAGGCTGCTGTTACTCTGCAGCACATGCCCATACAGGGCTGAATGGTTGCTTTCCAAAGTGCCTTTAAACGCTGAAATGCTGATTACAGCCACATGACACGCTCTTTGAAGTCAATTATCGTTCACATAAGATATTTCACAAACTCTAATAGTGCTATGAGAATGGATGGATAAGTCATAGTCTAAAATACGATAATACCATGCACACTAGCAGCATGCAGAGTGACAGGGGGTAGCTAAAACACAACATACCACGATTATCCAGAATCCGGGTTTTAGAGTTTTGGGGGTAATTTGACCCACAGGCCCACTGTAGGCTCAGACACATACAGCCATAATCATAAGGGCTTTGTAGATATCACCCCTTCCATTCATGGATCTCTCTGTCCAGGCTATAAGGCTACTTTAGCTCCACACAGGTGTGCGCTTCATTTTTCATTTCTGCTCAGAGACATGCATCCCAATATTGTCCCCAACTTTATCTGTCTTCTCATACTTTTACCTACCTAGTTATTGTCCTCCTGTATGA